ATGGTTGACTTCGTGGAAGAAAATCAGAAAATAATATTTTATGAGTCCTACGTTTATTTTTCACAAAATGTAAGCAAAAATATTAAGAATATCCATAATATCAGTCACGCCTTTTTTGAAATTCTGGCTTGAATCTTCTATTTGTTTACAAATTATGAGCTGTCAGTGGGGCCCGCAATTCGCGGGTCCGCAGCGATGTTAACTCTTTTCAAGGCAAGGCAAACAAGATAGGGATGCCAGCTAGCTGGCAGGAACTCAGCGATGAGTAAAATTTGTCTCATGGTTTCCTGTGGAAAACCTAAAAAATCTGCCGGAAAATGAGGAAATTGACGAAAATTTTATTCAGTCTCGGAGTAGTACCAATAGACTGAGTGAATCCAATCTTTACTTTTCTCAAATTCGGGAATTTTTCCCTGGAAAATCCTGGAAAAACCTGGGAAAACATGAGGCAAATTAACTCATCGCTGAGTTCCTGCACTTTTGGCGATTATGAGTGAACTAAACTCAAATTTGAGTCGTTCTCATTCGCCGTGTACAATCCAACTTCCACTGTGCGGCAGTGTTTTTATGGAAGAAAAATGTTTGCAATATAATCTATTATTATCTTATACTGATCCCATTGCAATCAATTTTAGCCCGGAAGTTGAAAGGTGATAGCTCTGTTGAGATTCAGTAACCCATTTCAGAATGCCTGGTCACTCACGTCCATTCCGAGGTTACTTTCACTTACAACAAGCCCCGCATACACGTAGTACCGATATAAAATATATATTGGTACTGCGTGTACTCTTCCATCATTCCATCATCAAAGCAATTCCTGCTTTGTAGTTGCCACGTATTTAGTAGGATGCATGTCATATTCTTATATCTAGTTGTAATCAGTTAGATCGCGCCGCTTATGTATTGTGTCCTTGCTGCTGAATTTTTGTCATCTCGATTCTCGTTGAGGCCTGTGGAATAATAGGCATCTGTAGTGGAATACTCTTCTCTCTCTTTCTCTATCACTTTTCGATGTTTTTCGTATGTCTTCTTGGCTCGGAAGTATCCTAGTTTAATCGGGGGACAGAACGCCAACACCAAAAACGAAAACTTTTCTTTCGGAAGCGGAGACGTAGCACCGAACACGCGAAAAGAAAAACCGACCAAATCACAAACCAGCAAGCGCTACTCTACAGCAACAATTCTATTTGTACCAAGTTCTAATTCGGGAGTTTTCACAATAATGTTCAGAATCTTTTATGTTATTCATTTATTTTTGCATTGGTACCTACCAGCCAAAAAAGGACGCGGAAAACACAAAATTTGTGACAGCGAATTTAAAACCAACCGTTCTCGGGCAGAGCCTACTGCGCACTTTTTTATGTCCAGTGATCTTGATGTCATCCAAAAAATACACTGACACCCTCGATTCCTAGCAGCGATGCCTCCATTTGTCGTTGCCAGATGGCAACGGTAAAAATCGTCATATCCGCGTCGTCAATACTTCGGCCATCACTAACGGTGTAGTAATGATCACCAGGAAGAGTATTGTAATCAAATTTAACGTATGATTCATCGTCCATAATCACGTACATCGATTTTCCGCACAGCAATTGGTCGTATAACTTCCGAGCCCTCGGTTCTGCTTCTTAAACGTCTTTAGACCCATTCTTGCCTTGGCCCGCTGGATGTTACTCTTCGAGGATCCCACTTTTTTAGCCACGTCTCGAACCGAAGCACTTTTCTTGCGAGTGAAAGCTTGCACGATTTTCCGGTCCAGATTTCGGTCAACAGTGTTCGGTTTACGTCCACATTTTTGTTTGTCCTGGAAAGTTGCTTCTTCACCATACTTCCGAATCGCGTTTCGAACGGCTCCGATGCTTAAGGCCGGCGCACAATGGATAAGTTTTCGGGTTTTTTGACAGTTAGCCCATGCATTATCTGTCAAAAAACGCCAGCCTTTAACCTTCCAATTTCGCTAATTGACTTAGAAAAAAATGTTAAGGATAAGGTCTGGAACGCGCAAAAATTGGTCAATTCAAATTGGTGTATTTCTGTTAAAAATGCATTAAAAAAAACCTGAAATGCTGCATTCGGAAGTTGAGTGGATATACAATGGTTGCTATGATGAGTTTTCACCGTTTGCTCTCCAGTTTTCAAAATGACGTCCAAGCAAGAGGAGCAGCGTTGCTTGCTCGCGCAGCAAGATAATCCGGCTTTTCACACGCCAAGTTGGCAACATTGCTGGATATGGCCAAAACGACCGTGACAAACGTTTTAAAAGTTTCGTCCGTCAGCGGTGGCAATCGTAATCCGGACGTGGCAGTGACGACGAAGAAGGTGGTGGTGAAATATAAGCGGAATCCTAACCTCTTCATCCGGGACGTCGCTGGAAAGCTCAATGTCTCCCATACTACTGTGCAGCGGGCCAAGTGACTCCCCCCCCCCCCCCCCCAAGTGTCCAAAAATGTGTAACAAACCCTTTTGTTACGCCCGCTCAGCCCACAAGTGACTCTAACCACACTCTGGGTCGGCTTCTTTTTGCGAGATTAGAGGAAAAACCGCAAGACAATTAATTTGCTTACTGACGGCGATTTATTTAATTTTTGCCCTAAAGCTGGGTTTAGACAGGGCAAGTCAATTGATCAACTCAGTTGAATTCAATTGGCTTGAAGAGTTGAGTCTGGTTCAACTTTTTTCGATTCAAGTGTGTTGATCAAGTCAGTTGAATGGCATGGTTTACACGTTCAATTCGCGTTCAAGTCAGTTGAATTCAACTGACTTGATCAATTGACTTGCCCTACCTAAACCCAGCTTAACGGTCCCTAACAGCCCTATCTCTTCCTATCAATAAATACTCACAGTTTCACCACACACAAGTGTCAGTGTCGGGCCCGTCGATGGACGTTAGCTGGCTGGTTAAGTCACGGCTGGCACGAGGACTCCGTGCCTGGTTGGGTGCTACGGACTTTGTCTCCTTCCTTGTCGTTCACGCCAATCGTGCCGAATGCCCCGATTGCGCCGTTCACGTCGATTCCGCGGATCTGGCTTCTCCGAATCTGGTGGGATGGTAGCGCCAATCATGCCGATTGCCCCGATTGTACCGTGTACGTCGAACACGCTTATTGTGGAGATTGCACTCGTCTGGTTCCCCGGGACGTAGATGGTTCCAAGCCGACACGTGTTACGACGGGACTACCCTCAGTGGAGCGTTGATTCGCAGACTTATTGTTTGGCTTCGTCCACTTGATGACGGTGTCGCTTACCGTTTTATTCCAGTATCGCAGTCGATCGTGGTTCACAGAACTTTTCCACCACTTAACTTGGTTTTGGTTTTCTTCGAGAGCTAAGGTCTGGATGCTTTTCTGGTGCTCAAGCAAGTGACCGAGCCAATATATTTGCAATCCTCATGAACGGGCGAATAGGCCTTTTTCTGTGGTTGTTGTAGGTAGCATCCACCCATCAGGCAGTACTGCTACCAAAAATACCAGCGTTTATGGGTGTATTGTGGGTGTGTCGTGTTGTTGAGGCTGCGTACAAAACCTTCACAGTGTGTTGTGTTTTTTTTTTTTAATTTAGTCGTTAGCCGTCGTTTGCCTCCTAGATTAATTTTGCATGATACCTAGTTTAATTTATTTGTTTGCATGAATTTTATTATTTATATAGCTTTTATATTTATTATTTTAGTTTGAATTAAGTCCCTATCTAGCTAGTTAAGGTTTTATTTAACAAATCCCCATTTGTGGTAAGGATACTATGGACTGAGTGAACTAGCGGAGTGACTTGTCACAAATGCCTGGAAAAGCGGCTGCTACCATTTCTAGAGCAACATAATAGACCTGTTTTGTTCTGGCCGGACTTGGCGATCTGCTCCAAAAGACAATCGAGTGGTACGATACGAACAACGTGGGTGTGGTACCCAAAGAACACAACCCTCCCAATAGCCCAGAACTCCGCCCTATCGAACGGTATTGGGCCTTGGTCAAACGGAATCTCAAAAAAAAAAACTAATGGAAACAAAACATGGAAAACGAGCAGCAGTTTAAATCTAACTAGCGTTCGGCGGCGAATAAGTTCGATGAGACCACTGTGCAAAATTTAATGGAAGGGGTTAAGCGGAAGGCACGGCAGTTTGGCAAACCAAAAGACCATTTTTTCCATTGGATATATGAATTGAACTACCAAAAGAAAAATACGAAGATTTTTATGATATGAATTTTGACTGAAAGAAACGATTTTTTATCGACCAATTTTTGCCCGTTACAGTCTTTAGTACACCATTTGTGCACGATCTATTTGCGCTTTTTCGAAGAAATACTTCGCATTGTCACGGAAATGTAAAGAACCGACACTTGCGATACACGAAACTGTTGGTCGAAATGTAAACATTCATAATTCAGGGTGATAATCAGCTGTTTAAACGTCATCTAAAACAAGCAGGGGTGTTCCAAAGTCGTGCTTAGACAATCTGGGACACCCTATATTATACGAAAAAATTAGAGATCTTCTATTTTTAAAACTCAATTTAGTTACTTTGCTCGGGTTTTTACTTTATTGTTTCAATCAAGACCACTTAGTTGTACTTAGAAAAATAAGACATCAACCTAAATGAAATAAAAAACGCTTTTCAGTATACTTGTTTGTAATCATTTTAAAGGTAATTCAGAGAAACATTTTCAAGAGGACAACAATATAAATGGCACCTTAAGAATTCACACCTTGCACTTAAAATGATCATAATTTCCAATAAACCTTCTTCCTCAGGAGCAATAAAATATTTAAAATGAGCAATAGACTAGTGGAAAGCAGCGATTGAAAATTAAAATGTTGCAGGTTTATTGGTAATTTCGCATTAATCTATGGGCGTTTTCCCTTCTTTTAGTGGGCGTTTATTGGGCTGCCATTTAAAAAGTAACTATATCTAGAAAACATAATTGGTAAATTCTCCCGTAACTGACTGAAAATCAGCTTGAATAAACTGCATGTAGCCAATATTTGATCTACTTTCCTTCCTTTTCCAGAATCTAAGACTATGGAACGGCACGATAAGCTTCCACTACTGGCAACGGCCAGGCGTCACTAGGTTAACTAAGGTGTATATTTTTAACGTAACCAATCCGGAGGGCTTCCTCGCCGGTGAAAAGCCAAAACTAGTTGAAGTAGGACCATTCGTTTATAGGTAAGTTCAATTCATATAAATATTCACTTTTGAGTGATGCTGTGAGTTATTTTACCGGAAGGCACAACCTGGGGTTGCAATTTCAATCAATATTTCTCGATCGCTGATTCATAATTGAATCTAAATCTCTAACCGGTCATAGATTGTGAGTGAATACGTGACCACATCTATCCATCACATTAAGATAACATTAAAAACGGGAATTCCCGTTTTCCGAGCAACAATCGTAGCGTGGGACTACGTTTATTATTAGCCCTCTCGAACAATCAAATCCGTAAGATTCCACTACCGCTAGCGAACGAATTAAAGGAAATTTCCTTCCAAACGCAGTAATTATATGCTAATGAAGGCGTGCAGGTTCAGCAGGCAAGCAAACAGTCGGGATTAGTGTCTGACAACAATTACTTTTAAAGGGGGCTTCCTCGTCGTCGCAGTAAAATGTCAGTTTTATAATACACTGTACCCTTACACGTTGTACAGTTAAGGATATTAAAAACAAACATGACCGCAACCATCACCGGTCAATGCCTGCGATCGCCAACTGTCCTTGCTCGTTTGGCATCTGAGTATGATCCGGTGTGTGAGTGAACACGAATAGAGCAATCAAAGTCCATAACCAAGAACGACTCACGAGAGGGAAGGCAATGTCGAAGCTGGCAATGACGCGCCGTCGTTACCAGAGGACCTCAAGGCGAAAAATATCGTTAGGAAAGTGTGCATTGCATACGTAGATGGACGTGGACGGAAAGATGCACAACGATGCATCATCGAACACTGCATATTTGTAATATTATTCACGTACATAAGCCGTTGTCCAACTTGTTTGCTTTGGTGGTCAAAATGATCTACAATCTACATCATTGATTAACGTTAATCTAATATGTTGAATTTTCCGATTGTTGTTTCAGAGAAGATATGGAAAAGGTGAATATCAAGTTCCATGACAACTACACTGTAACATATCAGCACAAGAAAATCTTACAATTTGTTCCTGAGCTAAGCGTAGATAAGAACCAACGAATAACGACACCAAATATCCCACTGCTGGTAAGATGTCCAATGCCCATTCAGTTCAATTTCGACTCAAAACCCACCTACCTCCCCCGCAGACAATCTCCACCCAGAGCAAGCATTTGGGCTACTTCCTGGCAAAGACCATATCGCTGGGCCTGACGGCCACCAAGTACAAGCCGTTCATCTCACTGACTGCCGACGAGCTGGTATTTGGATACGACGACACACTTGTGAGCCTCGCGCATCGATTCTACCCCCGAAATCGACGCCCAATGTCCAAGATGGGCCTCCTGAACGGGGTAAGTGCAACCAGTGCACCGTGCTATACAAAAAAGCCAACATCGCTTCGCCTCGTTCTTTGCTCGCGCCATGTTTCCTTCTTCTACTTCTTTTCCAGGAACAAACGCACACATTCCAGCCATTCCAGGATATGATCCCTCCCGGAGCAACATGGCAGCAACCATCTTCATCTTCAATTCATAGCAATGAACTCAGATATCTCAGTATCGCATCATCCATCCATCGCGACTCAGTGTGGTATCATTTTGTGCTTACGCTTTATAGAAACACCCAGAAAAGAAATGTAGATTATCTCGTAGCTAGAACACACATCTTTCTCCTTTGCCTACCTCCCCGCTTTTTTTTTCTGACAGCTTCTGTGGCCTGCCACCTTACGGTCTCTTGATTGAAGCAAACAATCGAACATAAACAAGCACCCCTTTCGCTGTCTCGGAATAAGTTCCGCATTCGCGCATCTATCCTATCTACTGATCAAGCCTATTACTCATGCCATTTTTACGTCTCGGCAGCATTTCTCATTAATCTGCATTAGCTGATCATACCGTTGTTCTTAGCGGTTGGAAGGGGGGTGTACAGCAAGAACGGCTCGCAGACTCATGTTATTAAAGCCACCCCTCCTCCCGTTCACATGCTCGTGAGCTGTGCTGAGTTGTGGGTGCTATGCACCTCTCAAAAGGGTAGATTGCGCGATGCAGATGATAATTGATCGGAGAGCTGTTGAATTGTTATGCTAAGCTCTATGACAGACGCCGATGGAGCGGAGAGGGTGGTGTAATTGATTTCTGTGCTCACGAACCGGTGTTGATGGTAGTACTCCACGTGAAACGTAAACAATGTAATATTGCGGGTTTACATAATAAACTACCCGATTCATGAAATTACCGCTATTAGGTGTTAATTGAATGGAATGCAAATTCTTTAAAAAAAAAATCAGAACCAAAAAGGCAATGAGACACAGATCAATAACCCAATGTACCACGAAATAACGAAAATGTAACTTTTAATTTACATCGCTGATTTCTCACCAACGATCCCGCAAAGTAAAAACACCATCAGCACCATGAATGTGACTGAAACCCATATAATTTTTCGATGTTTTGCGACTACATAAACTTAAATAAATACGGATAATTTAATGCTAGATTGACAAATATGAGACGGACCGAAAAGGTGTCGATCACATACGTGCTACCAAGGAAAGGAGAGCCCCAATTGGGACCCTACCAGAGCCGGTTTCGATGCATCCAGATGTGGTCAGTGGTGCTAAACATCAAACCTAGGCAAGGTGTAAATGCCCTTCTATGAGAAAAATAATGACGGTCGAAAGGTCAAACGGCACATTTATATGAGAATCTGAATGTGTCCCATCATGCAAAAAATTCTTAATCTTATAGCATAATCATTCAAAAAGTCATTAAAAGTTTGGCGTGGTATGATTTGGTCATATTATTACCCCGATCAATTTACGTTTTCTTCTTTGACATTATTGCGTGCCGACTGCACAGTGGTCCAGGATGGGAATTTAGCAAGAAACAACAAGACTTTCTAGGACTGAGAAGAATTCACTTTATTTGACTCTCTCGTGGTCCCCTGAGTACTTTTACTTAAATTAAATGATCTATATTTCTTGAATTTGTGTGGCTTACATGTATAACTTATCAAGTGACACAGATGCGTCTTTTCAACTTTAGTTCTTTTGAAATTTTAATTATTATTAATTACAGTTCCTAGTCCTATCAGGCCTGTTTAGAGAATAACCACCTTGCTGGGATTGTAAATTTGAAAAAGGAGACTACTTATAACTACTATTTACAACTACAGCTAACCTACAACTACTATATACACCTAATCTACTATATACAAATTGCTTATCAAAGCATGTTCTGATGCATTACATTTTTGCACAAACCTAGTCTTAATGTCAGCAATTTTGAAATGTAATTTAGTAACGTTCGCCTCTAGATGGAGATCGGAAATTTTTGTATCGCAAGGACGATCAAATACCATCCTTAGCACTCTATTCTGAGTGACCTGGATTTTGTTCCTGTGAGTCTGTGCACATGATTCCCACACTGGAGCTGCGTAGAGGATCGCAGGTGCTATGATTTGTTTGCAGACAGCCAATTTGTTCACCCTTGAGAGGGGTGATCTGCGGCAAATCAGCGCATACAGACACCTAACCAAGGCGGAATACTTGACTAAGGTTTTCTCTACATGCGAACGGAATAGGACCTCTTCGTCAAACAACATCCCGAGATAGGTTACTTCAGCGGACCACTCAACCCTTGTGCCATCCATTATTACAGTACAAGAGGGAGCCGGTTTAAGTTTGGGAGATTGCCGATGGAGGAACATTATTGTTTGGATTTTGGAAGCATTGATTTTGATTTTCCACGTGTTGGCATAATCAGCAAAGGCGTCAAGGCATCGTTGAAGCTTGTTTGTTATTTCACGAGGCATCCTTCCCTTGACGGTTATGGCGGTATCATCTGCGAACAGGAAGAACACGCAACCGTTGCCAAAGGGAGGAATTGTATTCGGAAGTGTAGATGCTGTATAGCAAAGGGCCCAACAGACTTCCTTGCGGAACACCCTTTAGGATGGAAAATGTATTTGAATTGCAACCATTCAACGATACCTTGAACGACCATTCCTGAAGGTAGTTTCGGGTGATTTTTACAAGATGTGGTGGAAAGTTGAAGTTACAAAGCTTGTACACAAGTCCGTTGTGCCAGACATTGCTATTTCAACGTCTTACAATGCCATGGCTGTGGGCTTGGATACAGCTTTGTTACTTCGAATGTTATTCATCACCCGAACTAGCTGGTGATTTGTGGAATGCTCCTTCCTAAACCCAAACTGTCAGGTAGGAGAATGTTGTTCTCCTTGACGAACTTAAGCAAACGGTCAAGAATTAGTTTCTCGAACAATTTGTTCAGCGCTGAAAGGAGGCTGATTGGTCTGTAGCTGGAAGGTAGTGATGGATCCTTACCGGGTTTGCGAATTGGTATGATTTTTGCCACCTTCCAGATACTTGGAAAGTAGTGCAGTTCCAAGCATCTGTTGAAGATAGCAGTCAAAAGCGAGTACACTTTCGTGCTCAGCTTCTTCAATACCAAGTTGAATATACATACCATCAAACCCGGGAGCCTTCATGTTCTTGGTGTTTTTCAGCGCTGAGCAAATCTGTTGTACTGTAATCATATCCGCCGGAGGCACGACACAAGCAATAAGCAATAAGCTAATATGCGATATGCAATAAGCTTGAAATGCGAAGAAGAAGAAGAAATGCGATGAAGCGACATGCTTGCCGATCGCATTTGCTTTCTCCTGCGGGGTGATTTTATGCCGATCGTCATCATTTTCGACTCTAAGAGGTGGAACGGGCTTAGGATGAGTCTTCAAGATCTTGGCTACCTTCCAGAATGGTCTGGAGCGGTCGTATAGATTCTGGAAAACGTGCCTGAAACTTTCGTTTCGGAGGGAGACCATTCTGGAAGCAATCTCCTTGTTCAGATCGGCTATTTCACGTTTTTTACACAGATCACCAGTCTTCTGAAACTGGCGTCTACAAACATTTCTTAATCGAATCAATAATTGGGTGTGGGAATCAATGGCAACAAACTTACACCTCACAGGAACTTGACGAACACACGTCTCGTCGGCCCTGGATATGACCTGGTCAAGTGGCGGATTTTCGTCGATGTTCCGGTCAACCACACGTCCAAACTGGACTCAGTTGACGTGGTGGTAGTCTTTTCGTAGGATTGGTGCAGGAGCTATGTTGACGCCAACCTCAGCCACCACCGGTTGGGATCGGAGCTTAAATCGTTGATTGCCACCGGCGTGGATAGCCTGAAGTTTGTTCATGACGGTTGATAGGTCAAACGGCACATTTATATGATAATCTGAATGTGTCCCAGTGAGAAAACTCACTTTATTTGACTTTCTCGTGGTCCCCTGAGTAAAAGTCTCGAACAAATTTATACTCTAACACGTCCTAATTTATTGGTACCGCCCTCTTTATGAATTTTGGTATGTTGTCCCGATATCGGTTATATACTGCCTAACTAAAGTATGTTACGACATTGGCTTACAAGAGTTTTTTTTTGGAAACGATTTCTCGTTGTCTTAACGCTCGTTTGGGTGATTTTTCAAATTGATAACAATCAGGCTAAGGCCTTGTTGTCCTCTGCTGTCCGAAGAAGTCGTCTCCAATCTACTCGATCCATGGCCACACTTCGCCAGCCTCGTAGTCTGCGAAGGGTCCGCAGGTCGCCTTCTACTTGGTCGATCCACCTTGCCCGCTGCGTGCCTCTTCTTCTTGTTCCTGTTGGGTCGCTTTCTAAAACCGTTTTCACTGGGTCGTCGTGCGGCATTCTTACGACGTGCCCAGCCCACCGTAGTCGACAATTTTTTGCAATGTGGACGATGGATGATTCTCCCAGCAGCTGGTGCAATTCGTAGTTCATTCGCCTCCTTCACGTTCCGTCATCCATCTGCACTCCACCGTAGATGGTACGCAACACCTTCCGTTCGAAAACACCAAGGGCGCGTTGGTCCTCCACGAGCATAGTCCAGGTCTCGTGGCCGTAAAGGACCACCGGTCTAATCAGCGTCTTGTAGACAGTCAACTTCGTGCGGCGGCGAATTTTATTCGACCGGAGCGTCCTCCGGAGTCCAAAGTAGGCACGATTCCCTGCCATAATGCGTCTTTGAATTTCTCTCTGGTATCATTTTCGGCGGTCACCAGTGAGCCCAAATACACGAACTCATCGACCACCTCGATTTCGTCACCGTCAATCTGAACTCGGGGTGGGAGGCTAACATTGTCTTCCCTAGAACATCTTCCTTTCAAGTATTTTGTCTTTGATGCGTTGATGGCAAGTCCAATCCGCCTAGCTTCAGCCTTCAGTCTGATGTACATTTCCGCCATAATCTCAAAGTTCCGTGCCATAATGTCAATGTCATCGGCGAAGCCAAGGAGCTGGATGGACTT